AAAAAAAACGTTGCCCCACACTAGGATTTTCTCCTGTGTCGTGGGTGCGTTTACAAACATACAAGTTCACATACACAATGGACTAAGCCTCACTTTAACATTGCCGTTTGTAGAACAGATGAGGCCAGAAGATGTTGATCGGCTGTCAGAGCTTCAATAGGTATGTGAAGTGTATAACCGGTTTATAATAGGTTTATACACATGTTATAATTATAATAATTGATTAATTAGCATGCTGTTTGAGCTCCTATGATGTGTGTTATAGGAATACCCTATTAAACTGTCAAACACCAAGCGGTCACCGGTGACCGCAACCTATTGTTCTATAATTGTGTCTATAATGATGGTACTCGACGAGTTAAAGGCATTTTAACATTGTAAAATCAAATAATGTAATCAAATATTTATTTTTATCTTTTCTATTTTGAGATAGGGAATCAGAATTATAACATGTGAAACTAATGGAAAAAATGTTGTTTTGTTTACTTTATTTACAGTTATCTTACTTGTTTACAGATATCAGCAATTAATGAAGTGTGTGCTGTATGACACCGCCTGCTCTCTTTTTAGAAGAAGTACTCCTAGAAACAACCTAAATACAATGAAATAAAAGTATTTCAAAATAATACATTTGTTTTATTTTAAACAGGTACCTAGTAACTATATATAAACAATCTATAAAATAAATGCCATCTTTATTTTAGATTGCTTTAGTTTTATACCAAAAATGTTCATTTTCATTTTACATTTCTTTACTTGTGTTGTGGTGGCCAGGAGGTTTAAGAAGCCCGTTTCTCATGCATGAGAGTGCAAGTTGCAACGGCAAAGTACCAATGTGACTTTTTCGAGTTATGTATATATATTTTTTATTTATTATTTAATAATCTAAGAAAGTACAAAGACACCACTGACAAACGGTGAAGGAAAACATTGTGAGGAAACCTGGGCTTATAATTTCTAATTATAAGTTTGAAATCACCAACCCACATTAAGCTAGCGTACTGATTAAACTGTCAAACACAGAGCGGTCACCGATGACCACAACCTATTGTTCTTTAATTGTGTCTATAATTACGGTACTCAACGAGTTAATGCTTAAACCTAATCCAGTGAGAAGAGACCTTCGGTCGGCATGGGCCACTTATAGACTTAATGATGAAACTGATGATGATTTTACTTATTTGACTTACTTATTAGAAATTAAACCTTAAAACGCTTGCTAAGCAACCAGTTTTCAGAAGAAATACTTTCTCAAAGAGCTACGCTTAAGTTTAAATCGAATTAACTTAAAGACTATTTGTATATCAGGCCTCTGCCTCGAATCTTGATTTTACACATTAAATCTTGCATCTGCCCGCAAGATTCAAGGTGAAGTGAGACATTAGTTTTATCATATCCGCCAAAAGACGTCCACTGCTAAATGTAGGCCTTCTACCCAATGACAGTCGCTCACAATATTAATTTGCATTTTCGTAGGCACCTAGTAAATGAAAGAGATTGTAAAGCATACTCTGTAAAACTCTATAGTTACAGCATACTTGCTGAATTAACAGTTAATTAATTTACTCATAATACAAAGTGTAACAGTCACGAGTAGCGAGCAGTGTTTAGAGTTTAGTTTGTAAACAAAACAACCAAATAAAAAATAAGTCAACATTGACATTTTTCAATTAACTGTCATCTGTCATTTGTCATATTATGTACTTTTGCGTAAAGGTGGCATTATACTTGACATTGCGTATTTGTTGTGTACGGCCAAAACAGACCATGTGTGGAGGGTTTATTCGTCTTCATTTGCTATATACGTATATTTGCACGCTTTTACATTTATAGATACTATTTGGACGCCATTTGTACGTAGTTCACAAATATTTGTACAAATGAAGCGAATACGCAATGGCAAGTGTAATACCGCCTTTACGTACCTTCTGCACATTTTCAAAGTGAAATAACTTTTGAACCCGAAGTTCTAAAAATATGTAATTTTTTTCTAAACTTCATAATAAAAATATCTATCGTTCAGACCATTCACTTGGTTAAAACAATGACAAATACAAAATTTTATAGCGGTACCAAACCTCCATACAAACCTGCCATTCTCCTTACAATACAAAGAGACAAGAGTTTGTAGAAGAACTAGACTATTTGGTAAAAGAAAATTCCATCCGTGGTACTACCAAACCAAACGAAAATATTATTAATAAATTCGATAAATATTATAAATAATCACGAGGCTCATTGCACAATGTTTGATTTATTACGTTGACCACTTTAGCTTTACGGTCGATCTAATAACTTTATTATTGATGTTACAGCTACAAAATAACAAAACGTCAAATTAGGTTTATTAAAGTTCATTTACGAGTTATTTATTTAATTGTTTATTAATATATACAACTTAAAATATAAAAAAAATAATTCAAAACTAAAATATAATTACAAATTGTCTAACGTCAAATTGTCTATGATTATGAGTTGACTGACGTTGACATTAATGACAGTTGAATTATAATATAAAGCATTGCATTCTGGGCTGAGTGGTTTGTTTGCAGTCGTTAGTAATTTATTTACTGTCGGTTTTATTTTGTTGTTCCTTCGTTTATCTGCTTATGCTCTACTTTTAAGTTAAAATCTCTATAAAATGAAATATCTAATATGGTTTGTGACGTTTATTTCGTTTTTAAGTCATAGTAAGTATCGAAAATAGGTAAAATGTTTTCTTTAGCTATTGTAACATGGGTGTGGTTTAACAACGATGTTGAATACATCGGTAATTCGCTTATTGTAAATTCTTTTTCAAAGGCGTATCCATAGCATTTAGCCTAAACTTAACAATTGTTATGCATTTTGTATGGAAATCATTTAAGGCAAGGATAGAAACACGGGAAATAAAATTTTGTCAACGAAATCTAACATTGTTTGACTATACCCATCAGTTGGGATCTTATTAGAATAAAATGTAAATGATTTCAAAATACTTGTTGATAGTATTTTGATGTTATTTATCAGTGTAATTTATTTGATAGGTCTAGCACTATGGTGCTATCAATGTACGGCAGCTACGCCTGGGTGTATGGAGCCATTCAACTGGCGCGGTGTAGGTTACCTCGGTAACCCATGTCCTGATAATGAAGATATTTGTGTCAAGCTCATTGAACGAAAAGGAGGTAAGAATTTTTAAAAGAAATATATATATTTTTTAAATTAATTCTATTACTTTGTTTTAAATTACTTCTAGACTTTTTCTATTAGTAATTAATTTGATATGCGTCAGTCGAGTCTGTTTTTGAACTATATAAATATATATCAGTATCTTATAAATCTTAGAATAATCATCATTCTATTCTTTTTCTTTAAATTACAGTAATAAAATCAAAGGATAACAAATTGCTCTTTTAACATATATCCTAAAGTTGACTACAAGATTTATTTGTACAATCAGTTGGGTAATAAGACTGCACATTAACACTTAACCGATTCACTAATTTTAATTTGTTGTCACAGTCGGGTAAATAAATGGTAACTGTTCACTTTTCAGCACAAGAAGTAATAACAAGAGATTGCTTGAGCAACTTTAGAGCTTTTCGGACAGACATTCCTGCAGACACGTATGAAGGTTGCAGACCAGCTGCCCGGGATGTAAATCTAGCAAACTATGTCAATAACAGCATAAAGGAACTTGATATTAAAAGGTAAATACAATACAATATTAAACTACTCAAGGCCTTCTTTAAAACTTTTGGTTAAGATTTTGTAAATCCTCCACTTCAGGAGTTCTGCTGTGTGGCTCCATGGTCAAAGTACCGTCTTTACCATAAGTACACTCGAGGCCTATGCCCAGGGTCCCCATCCGCAGGGGGTCCTGAAGGACCGTCAATTCCTTCAACGACCTGCTACCTATATGCCTAAAATGGGTTTTATGAATGAGCTATGCTAATTTGTAACAGTATTTACTAGATATATCAACTGATATAATGTTGTGTATAGTAATAATACATATGTATAAATTCTAATAAATCAATTTGTTACAGGGACTGGTATGATGAGACAATATGGTGTTTCTGTTTCCTTGACCATAGATGTAATGGGGCATCAAGTATGGCAACAATGGCGTTACTAATCCCATCATGCATTGTGTTTCTATTCACTAAAATGATGTTCTGATACACAGACTACAAACATCACACAATGATGTTACACCAAAAAGGTTTTTACTAAGCAGACAAAAATGGAACCTCTATGGAGTTTCTATGACAATAATAAGAAAAAAAAAGAATCTCAATAAAACAAATCCATTTTAGATGTATTCTGTTAATAGAGTAATTAGAAATGCACAAGTGACCTTATTATGAAAGCAGACAGCTTTATTATGATCTGAAATAAATACTAATAATTAAGTCCCTAAGGTGGCTATCAAGCTAAAGTATGTGTACATATTTTAACAAACAAAGATTTTAAGTGCAAAATATTGTAAACAAGCCTTTATAGTAAAATTAATATTTTATAAATATGTTGCAATAACTTTATATCCAATCAATGTCATCATTATGTTCGGCATTTTATTTAGATAATAGATAATTCTGATTTTTGAGAAGTAACATTTTTTTATAAAATAAAAAATTAAAGGTTTTGAAACATTTTTTATGTGGTGTCTTGTAGTTCAAGTTATTGCCCTGCAGAAATATTATTATACTTTGACATACAAATTATGTAAATAATCTACTATAATGTACTACCATGTAATTAATATTAGTAAGATTGAATCAATCATGCACATTTTTATATTTTTTAAACTACATGATATTTTTTAAGCAGGAAACATTCCAGTATGAAACATAGTATTTTAACAAATCCGTCCAGTTACTATTGTTTTTAATAGTTAAGATTTAAGTGCCTCATTGAACTTTGTTCTTTAAGACTGTAGTTTTGTACGCAATATTTTATATTTTAATTCAATTTATACGCTTTATAGAAATATATCTATATAGGTTGTAAATGTCACAGCTAAAAATGTTTTATTACAACTTACAAAGTGAAATAAATGGTTTTAAATACATGTGAAGTTCGTGTTTTCATTTTTTATTTACATCACCCAATGACACAATAGACCAATCAAGTTTTGAAATAGCTCAGCTATTGTTATTTGCTAAACACTGGATGGACCCTAAACTTGTCAAACCATACCTATTATATTTTGCGTGTCTCGAAGTAGAACCATATTTCTCATTGTCGGTACGTAGTTCGAATTGCGCCTACTCTTAAAACCATTGGTTTTTGCATTAAAATTGACATAAGTGGGAGTCTTCTTAAGAAGTCCTCTGACTGCCTTCATATTACAAACAAAGGGTTCACAAGAAAGCAAACTGCATTTGTGTAACGATAAGGCCAGTGACCAGCATGAACATCTGCAAGAGGACATTCGCGTCCAGTTGCCACATGTCGTACACGGAGAAGTGTGGAGGCGTCTCTTCTATGAGTTTCAACATTCTGTTTGATTTTTCCCTCAGTCTACCTGAAAATTGTAACAATTTTATGGATACTTCATGTAAAAGTGCGCTAGGGTCTTAGTAGGTGGCGCTCTATAGTTTCTACCTACACCTATTGGACAGGAATATGTTGATGAGTCATGTCTGTATGTATTCTATACGGATTTAGGATTCTTAATAGGTACTTAGAATTTCCTTCAGTATTCTGTAGTTTCAGTACATGGGTAGATAAATTTTAACTAAAACTAGGTACCTACCCTTTTGAATATTAATACTTACCATCAAAATGTTTCGCCATAACAGCTATCACCAATCTCTTAGTTTCTTTGACCTCTCGGATAAACAACTCGCATCTGATTCCTAGTAAGAGCGCCATAACCAAGTCGATTATGGTGAAAAATGATGGCGTCAAGCTGTCCCAGATTCCTACAGTCTGTAAAAACATGCAATTGTAGTGTGAAGTAGCAGGCTTAGTCGTAGGTTGGTCATTCTAACTTACGTCATTCTGTACGGCAAACAGCATAAATTCGAATGTTAAGATACTCGATCCCACTAGCTTGCAGCAAAACATAAAAATCTGTAAAATATAATGTAGGAAAACAATAGAATCTGTTTTTACCAAGGTCGCAAGGTGGATAGCATACCTTCTTATTAGGTACTTACTTACTTGGAATTTGTAAATGTCTTGAAATTTGAAAAAGCCATCCAATAATTGTTTCATATAAATATCAGTATCACTTGTTAGGAAACTGTGAGTCTGAGCAGCGAGACGTCTCATAAACGTTTTGGTGGTAAATAAAAAATATGAACTCTTTCTTGAGTATAGGATCTCTTGAGTCTCTTTGGAATCCAAATAATTTTTGATTATAGAATTGATGAAACGTGCTCGTATATAGAAATATACGAATATATTTGAACAGCATATTAGTTCCAATACAAAATTAAGTTGCGAGTATGCAATTCCTATGTAAGGCCAAAATGCAGCAGTGCCTTTTGCTGTAGCAATAGCAACAAGTACACTGAAGATGACAAATACGGATGCCAAGGAAAATATGTTAGTCTTCAATAATAAAGCTGTTATAGTTTTGTTGCGATGAATGTTCATGCACCGGTCGATTTGTTGCAGTTTAACGAAAAAGTCCACATTGTCATCTCCGTTCATGAACCGCACATGAATAATGTTGCATATAAACGTAAGAGTTTGTAGTCCCGTCACACACGTGCTCAAGTAGTATATAGTTTCGTTCTCAAACAGAATCGTATCATACTTGTGAATTACTATGTAATCTAACCCGAGTAACAGAACCACACTGAGCAGCGTGTGGCATTTTTGGAGTAGCGACGGAGTAGTCACAAAGCGGTCTTTCAGATCAACTCGGGTAGATGCCATTAACATTTGAAATCGATACATTAATTTTAGAGATTTTATGAATTCTTCTTCAAGAATATCTTTGGAAAGATATTCGATTTTTGTATCTTTTGTCAATTTCATAGTTAATGTTAAATTGTGATTAAAGTAAGTAACTTTTAGTATAGGTACTTGGGTACTTATCTTTTCTAAGATGGTAGGTAAGTACGTAGGCGCACTTAGGTATAAATCTTATAGTAAAGCAAACTGCAAAAGCACAATGGTATAACTGGCAGTAACAGCTAGCAGATGTAAGGGCAGTCGAGTGCCCAATGTGAATATGTTGTAAATTGACAAGCTTCGTCTTCCTTCGACCAGTAATATAATTTGCTTAGCATACTCCCGGGATTTGCCTGTGGAAAAAAATGTAGGGTGATTAAATTAAATTCCCAGCTATTTTAGTAGAACTTAGAAGTAGTTAAGTCTGCTGGTGGATCTTGGAATATCTACTGGCACTAGCAGGTGACATCCATGTCCCACTTTAGGTTAATATGTTTAGAACATGTACCTACTTAAAAGGGGATTCCCATAGGATGGTACAAGAAGTACTTAGAAATACCAACTAAACATTTTATAAGCCCTTAGATTTGCTAACGAACCAACAGCACAAACCATTGGTTTTGACCTTTTACCTTTATCCAGTAATAGGTGACAATTAAAACTATCAAAATAAAAGAACACTTAAAAAACGGAGTTTTTGAAGTTACATCAAAATAATTACTTACAGTCATTAAGGCATGATGAAACGATGTCGATACATAGTTTTCTTGATTCTTCTAATTTTGTAGATAGAGATTGAGCTTTTAGACACAGAGTCACCATTATAAATTGCTTATTGAAAAGCAGAGGCATCACGTATAGCATTAAATCAATATCTGCTTCCCTCTGTGGAAGCAAATTAGGAGATTAGCAGGTCTAGGATTAGCTTTCAGATACCCAGCAGTGCCGAAGTTGGCTTATCCGTTTCTTACCTGCTCTTTCAGTGAGGTGATAAGAGAATGTATGGATACCAAATTCCAAGCCAAGATTTGACAGACGAAATAGAATAACTGTTGAAATAAGGCCATATAAAATTATTTTACACTGAAATATTGATGAAGCCATAAATGCCTGAGAAAAAGTTAACACTCACCGAAAATTGGAATAGTTCAGTAAAATCTGACAATGCATCGAATATACAAAACGTTGCAGATACAACTTCGCTTGAAAGACTAGTATTTTCACTATCGTAGGAGTTCATTAAAAAATAGAGGTTTCCATCATTGGCTCTTTTTCGAGGATCGTTCGCTTCTAACATTTCTTGTCGCAATACATCGTTTAGATAATTTACCCTTGATATAACAAGATGTATGATGAAGTAAACTTCTGCGATCTCAGCCAGCAGGCCAATACCTGTCGATATCAACATTACTAGAGGTGGACACGCACTTCTCATAAACACACTGTTGAACAATACAATCCATACAAAGGCTAAGAAACCACCACCCAATACAATGAACCAAGAAAACCTTCCTATATTCCTGTTCAGACTCTTTACATTTTTCACATCAAGGTGCCTTTCTATCTTCTGTAATTTCACGTACATTTGACAAATTTTATTACTCCTTCGCAAATTGTTTCGACAAACTATCAGTACACCGTTGATTCCGTTCACTAGGACACCGAATTTTAGCGTAGAGTTAGCGTATTGAGAGCTAAAGCCATTTCCACAGTAAGTAAAGAAATACACGAGACAACACGTGTTTAAGATCCAGAAGAAATTGCTGTATAAATGGTACCACTTTGAAGGTTCAGTAGGGTATCTGTATTTAACATTCACGCGACTGAACCCAAGAATTCGGAGCAAAAAGAATATAGGTCGGAATATTTTTATGAAGTCGTCGTTCAAAATGTCCGCGGACACTTCTTCGATATTTCTTATTTTATTCATATTGTACAGCTACTTGGATTACGGATACGCAACACGTTTGTTTCCTGTACAATATGAAATAAATAATAAAACTAGCTTGATCGACGAAATTCAGTAACGACTCCCACGGGGAAAACCTTAGGGAAAACATCAATGCTCTAAAATCCATTTTACTTATTAGATAACGTTTTGAATTCCTATAGATAATTTATTAACTGAGGCCTTAGTACGAGTTTGTTTTACGTAAGTATTCGAAATGAGTTCGCGTTCGGCGCACTGATTGGCCGGCGCCAATGAACCATCCAATCAGAGCGCCGAACGAGTACTCGTTACGATTACTTGAAACGTAAAACAAACTCGTACTAATGCCTCTGTATTTTTTGTTTTGTTCACGACGACGTTACTCAGTATCTTTTGAAGGGATTTCAATAAGAACACAAGATATGTAACAATAATATTTTATTTTATGTACTGCGGTTACTCACTACATTAGTAATGTGTACTTAAATAATCAACAACAGCTAGACACAGACTATTTCAAAAAACTCTCACATACAAACATAACGAGTTTTTATTGCTATCAACTGTATAAAACATTTTATACTTAATAATCTCGGACTAAACCAAGTTATTTTGTATTGCTTTGGAATTCAACAAATCAGTAACTTTTAAACATTGCTTTTCATCCCCATATACTCAAAATACATACATTTAATTAATTGGCAGGTACCTAGCTAACAAAATGCGAAAATTGGAATAATTTTGAGGCTGGCTCAGTTTTTCAAATTTGCGGGTACGAATTTACAAAGCTGTCTTTTATCCTTGATATTTGTGCATACATAGAAGTTTCTTGAATTATTTATACAAAAATATATGTACTACAAAGCAGAAAACTACCCATTCAAATAAAAATAACAACGTACTAACGCGGCAACATTGCAAACCAATCTATTCTAGTTAAACATTCCCAGTTTTTAATATGCAAAGCGTTGTGATTCGGCGAAGCCCAGTTTCTCAAGAGCTGGGTTGCAAGCGAAGTTGATCATTGGAGGAGGTCCACACATGAGGACTATGACGTCATCGCCTGGCGGGAACAAATGCTGACTGATCATCTCATCATTGATGAAACCCACGCTGTATTGCCAGCCTGCAAAGAACATAGAGAAAGTATTTATTTTCTTTATTTCGTATTGGAACATTCTGCATATTATAAAGTGCGTAAAGTTATAATACGACTTTGAGATTGTTTTTTTTTTCATTTTTGGATACATACTTAGCCCATAGGTTTTCTTATAAATCGTAGTATATAGTAAATAGACATTATTAAGCTTTTATAAGAAGGCAACTGGTTTCATAGATCAACAGATTAAAAAAAGTCTCCTAAGACATTAATATCAATATGTAATACTCATCATTACTTGCAATCTTTTCTACTTTGTTCAATCGCATATATTTTCTGTCAAGTTAAGGTTTCTCTCGAAGATTTTTTATGTATTTTTTGTCATCATACTGTTTAGAACGTGTAGTAAAAAGATTACATAATAATTTAGTATGATTCATCCCAATTTAAATATTCAGAATTATGCGATATACTAATAAATACTGCCGAAGCAACCTTGCATTTTTCAAAGTTAATAATTTTCGAGTCGATGTATCAGCGTCATGTAAGGAATTATGAACTATGTTCTAGTCCTATAAATAATTTGAACTGGCATCTCACCTTCACTAGGTCTGTCAAGAGTGTACCACACTTTGAACTGCTCAGGGTGTTCAGATTGATACTTTTCCAGTTCATTTCTTAACAAGATGTCTTCTTCTGTCTGGTTGGCAAACAATAGTCTCATTTCCGTGCGGTCATTGCCATCCTTGCATATGTGTCTGATGAGTTGGAGCATTGGCGCAATGCCAGTGCCACCTGCCGAGACAACGGAGAAATTAATAACTAATACCCATTAATTATGAACGTTTAAACATTATGAAAGCATGAGTAAGACATCATATTATTAAAAGGACACCGTGTGCAATAACATGGATTGTAGATTTGTAGGTAATTTGTCTGTAGTAGTTATGAATATTTGATTCAGACAATTCCATTAGATGATACGGCTCAATGATATTTTTAATGTATATTTAATTTGGGCTTAATGACAGTTGAATAGCCGTAATTTTGTTGTACCTCTGTAGCAAGATTATCTTTTATTTATGAGAGTTATATTAAGATATCACCTCGTGACACCTTTCTTTATAAGTCTATAGAGTAATGTAACAATACAATAGACTATTGATTTTATTACATTTGCTTTTTGTAGTTAGTTGTCACTATTTTTGTTTTAAACCACTATTACTGAAATGACAGACCTTGGTGCTTACTCTTGAATCCAATTCCGATCGATCGACATTGACATTGTGAAATTTCGTACTATTGAGTTATAACAATAGCGCCGTTTGCATCCGTATTGCGTGGATATTTCATGAACTAAATGGTATTAAGTTTGGTTTTATATTCCGTACTCTAAATGCTACTTTAGCAGTTACGATAGGGGTTGTATAGTTTTGACATTGGATAATTATTGAGATTTTATTGGATTGAAATTGCATTGACATTGAGATTGGTTTCAAGAGTAAGCACCCTTAGCAGTTTTGACAATCATAAGTGGATTTAAGAAACGGGGTGGTTTTTAGTCAGTAGGTAAGAGTCTGACACTCCCTCCCGCCTCAGTCATTCGATGATTTTCCCTTCTGAAAAAAGTGGATTTCTATACAATAGTTTTTTGATTGAACAGAAATCAAATCATAAGAACAGCAGACAACTAATCGCCGGACCATAAGCAAATAGTTTTATTATTATTTAATAACTCCGTATATTTCAAAGTCATGCACGAAGCACGATATAAAAGATAAAATGTGACGTAAGCAGTCGATATATTATGTCTTATCATAGTATGTATATCATGTACTAAATTCAAGTATTTTTTTTTTTAAGGGGGGAAAATCATCGAATGACTGCCCCCGCCTGGGTGAGGCGGGAGGGAGTGTCAGACTCTTACTGACTAAAAACCACCCCGTTCCTTCTCCTGCACGTCGAGCCGGAGCCCCGGTTACCCGTTAGGTTCTCCGCGACACTAAATTCAAGTATACGTACCTGCAATCATGTTAAGTTTCTTAGCATTTACAGTTACTGGTGGGTCTTTCCTCAACTTCTTGATAAGGAATTTCCCATTGCCGGCGTACTGTAATCTTCCTGACGGTCCTCGTACGTCGATCGTGTCGTTGATATTCAAACTGTTCAAGTGTTGAGACATTTTACCGCCGTCAGGGAACTTAGGGTGCACATTTTTGAAGTATACCTGGAATACAATATTATAGGGTTGAAGTATATTATGATAACAAGAACATGTAGACAATAGTAGCTCTTCTAGAACAATAGGTAAGTAGAGATGTTGGTTGTACATTAGTAGTTAGAAAACACAATACTTGGTAATAAAATATAAGTAGTGTATTGTAAAATAATTGCATTGACTTTGTTGACACCTGTAGCATAGTATGAAGGTCTTGAGTAGGTAATTAATATCTTGTAGATTTTCAATGGGACTTCATAATAACGATTAAAATAATAGAAAAACGTTGTGATTTTTACAGCCTTATTTGCTACATGAGAATGCAGTACTGTAGCAAGGCTCGATTACTTTAGATATTATTGGTCATTAGTCAGTCATCAGTTATGATAATTTGTTTAATATAATGTCTAATAAATCAATAATCTGAAAAATACAAGAAAACCCAAGATACCACTGTATCAAACAATTTTCAACCAAGACCATTAATAGTAAAGCCTTCAAAAATATTGCAATCTCTATGTAGACTTTAGTTTTGGATTCATGTTTAAGTTTTATCATAAAATCAGATACTTAGATAAAATAAATTTATCTCTTTACTTAAGAACTGCATATTGAAAAGAGTTTTTTTAATAAATAAAAATTGTCCACTTAGTACGAGGTCTTAAACTCATGGAACAGTCTAGGTCATGATGACTATATAAGGCCAATTAATGCTGATAAAAATAGATAATTTATCAAATTGATTAAATATTATAAGTAGATAATATAGGCATTATATTTTATTATCTACTCATTACTCAAAATATGTTCAATTTATCTTATTATTTTTGTGTCATATATATATTAGTTTTGTATATTATTGGTGTGTGTATCTGTAAATAAAGTTAGATATAACAACTAGGAATGTATAAAATGTAGTAAGTTAAAAGAAAACAGTTGGAGCTAGTAAAGCTTAAGGTTCTATCAGGGCGCTTACTCTTGAAACCAATCTCAACGTCAATGCAAATTCAATCAATAAAATCTCAATAATTATTCAATGTCAATACTATACAACCACAATCGTAGCTGTTAAAATAGCATTCAGAGTACGGAATATTAAGCTAAACCCAATACAATTTAGTTCATTCAATATCCATGCAATACGGATGCAATGGGCGCTAGTGTTGAAACTCAAGAGTACGAAGTTTAACAACACCAATGTCGATCGATCGGAATTGGAATGATTACAGGGTATGAAAATTAAAAATCTAATTAGTCCGTAAGTTAGGTAACGAAAAAATATTAGGAACGTATTTTTTAATTTTGTCTTAGAATAAAACAATACTTAGATAAAACGAATTAAAGTTTAGGAATGGGGGCTAAAACGTCAATTCTACGTATAAAATGTACATAGAAGTGACGTCAAACAACATTTCAAATCAATATATCGTCGAAAGTATTCGTTTCTGTAAGAAATTAAAAAATACGTGTCTAATGATTTAAAAAAATCTAACAGACTGACATTAAAATAAAAATTAGGCATCTACTCTATTGGATTCAAGAGTAAGCTCCCAGATCTAACCAGCTAGTTACACAGATTAGCTGCCCAAGTTATTAAAGACAAGGGGTTACAGACAACATACATGCTTCTTTTATTATAGAGCTTAATATCCTGATTAATATTGATAACTCATAATAAAAACGTGGTTTTAGTAGTTTCACAAATTGTCAATAAACAATTGTTGAGTACCTAATGAGTAACCAGGAAGTTAATACTTATCCATCGTAAATGTAGTAGAGCTAAAACTAGTAAGTAGAGCTTTTCTTAGTATTTTCACGTTTTTTCAACCCACGGTGTTCAGTTTTTATGAAAACATTTCCAAGAAGTATGTAATCTCAGATAGGCAAAACAGTCAATTGAGGTGTAGTAAAACTTAAAGGCGTTGAATGTATCACGTAGCTCTACGTTTCGATATTGTAAGATAAAATTACTTTAAGATTGTATTCAAGCAGGTACATTCTTGAAATGTAATCAAGTACTAAAATTATTAAAATTATCAGATAGGCGCATACCTACATAAGCATAATGAGTAGTTTATGTGTCTGATTAACTGTTGCTATCTAGTAAGAAATAAGCAGAATTATGTGATTACATTAATTGATTAATTTTTAACCTTATTCCTATGAGCATAAGATTGAAAATAGTTTTGCTGTGCTATCTTCCGTTTGTACTTTATTATAAATATTATTTAAAATAGTTACATACCTTAATAACAAGATCGACATATCCTTTCTCATCGTCACTGGAGACAGGAGTGTAGGATCTGATGACGAGATCATCATCAATCTTGGCTGACAAATGAATGTGCTGGCCAATTGGCAAACCTGAAATACAAAAAGTTATATTAGACGAGTTGCCAAATATAACGATTTTTTCAGGTACACAGAGTTCATTTACACTTCCAATTAGAGACGTTCCCATAGGTGATTGTTTTTATATGCAAATAGTTATTATTTATGTCAGAGAATTTTGCCCAGAAACGAACCAGTATACTGTTGACGTTGCAAAAAGAATATGTACAGCTAATAAATTATATAGTTACCTAGTTAATTTCTAAAAAAATACAATTTACATGTACAATGTGTGTATTCAATGGACGTCAAGAATAAACAATGAGGTTATTTAAATTCTTAATATTGTACTAAGCTAGAGAAAATGAAAAATAGAAATCATTAAATTACAGACTTTATACAAAACAATGTTTTAAATTGTATGCATTCATGAATTACATATATTGCAGCAATAACAAAACTATGTCTGTAAAAAAGGTTGAAGTTATTATATTTTTATGATTGATATTGTTGTTAGATAACTAGTTAGTGATAAATTAAAATTAAAATCTCAAATAATATTATTATTATGATAAGAACACAATGACTAATGACTTACTAGACCAAGGATTTGTAGTTCTTATTAACTCGTCAAGTACCGGTTTTGCAGACACAATTATAGAACAATAGGTTGCGGTCACCGGTGACCGCTTGGTGTTTGACAGTTTAATATTGTTTTTATGCTGTATAATAATTACTCGGTAACTATTATTAATTTACTTATGGACAAGGAACCTTTAAGATTTTGAGTAAATTGATAGGTATTTTTGATTCGTTTTTTAAGCATGTGGTCAATAATGTTTAAAAACATTGAATTACTTAAAACAAGGTTAATCCGATCCAAGGTGATTAGATCACTAGTCATGTCTGACGAGATATTTTGTATAATAATTCCTCTAATTTACACTGTTTTGATAAAATGTATTATGTGACCATGTTTATCTTTGGTAAAAGTACTTACTTAATAAAAACAGAAAAATAGTTTTCAACAACAAATAGACCAACCAAGATAACTGACTTTATCTACATGGTGAGACATTATGTACCTACTTAATATGTATATTTTATCGTTTTGAGAATAGACTTACCTAGAACATGTTCTGGAGTTGGTAAACCAAATCGGAACCTCCTTGTGTCATGACTGATCTCTTCCCTCTCTATCAGAGGTAGAGCATACTTCACATTAGGATCCTGTAATGTGATGAGCTGTGAGCTCTTCTGTGGAGCTGGAGCTCGAGCTTCTTTCTTGGCCGGTTTCCTTCCCCATATAAAGTGGGCTACTACTGATGTTATCAACACCACTGACCCCACCCCCAGTACAATAGGCAAGACCTGCAAAAATGAATTTATTACTACCAATCATAAGATTGTTTATTACTTGCTTAATTTTTCACTTTAGTACAATTGGTCTGGGTGATATTTTTGCTAGTTCAAAGAGTTCTGAATGGTGATGACGATGAATTGAGAATAACTTTCAAAGACATGTTTATTATTGTTTTAAAACATGATAATATTATAATTTATTTCAAATATTGTGTTCCCGGGTGTACTAACTTAGATATTTTTTTTTAATAGGTACCTAGTTATTACAAACTAATATAGGTAAGTGATACAGCAGTGTCAAGCGATCAATTTAGTGTACTACCTTTTGTACTGTATGCATTTTGATTGGATTTATTATTACATCATAGAACAGAATGGATTACCACAATTTATTAAAAAAAATTATAATGGTCAATCACTATGGACACAACTTGTACACTTTAAAACTTTGACAACACTTACAAAGGGATACAAAGTTCAAAACTTATAAAACATGATTTAAAATACTTTGTAACAAATTATAAGATAACATTAACAGGTAACAACAGGTTTTAGGAAGTTTTACTTTTTTGGTCGAAATATAGTAGATTAGCGACAATGAGGTACCTACTTGAACATTTTCGAAAAAATCTGTCACAGCCGCCTCTAAGTTACTCATTTTGATATATTTTTTTACACTGGATTAAAAACCACTATGAACACGAACGTTTCACTGGACAATTTTATTCAATTTAACTCGGAAACTGATGTGCGCACACGCATATCGTAGAGGGTAAACAAGCAACTGACTAAGGTCAAACTTATGAGAGCAAAAACTTAGTTCACGGGAACGAGCAACTGATCGCAGTTTAGACCTTGAACCGTCTCAAGATACAAAATACATGAATTATTCAATAAAACGCGTGCGTTTGACGTTATGGCGATGAGCCCACTGATAACTGAATGAAATGATCGGTACAATTAATTAACATTTGACAGAATGAAAATTACGACACGCGTTACTATGCATAGCCACTAAGTTACCAACCAAACTCATGTTCTTTCCCTGCTGCTAATATCAATACAATAATCCACAAAGACAGGTAAACTTACGTGAACCATTATCAATTCAATAACTTGCCTATCAATCTAGATAAGCCATATTAATAATATTTATCAATTTCGTACAATACTTAACCTCAAAAGTAAATAAAATTACTCACAACTTTAGTATTATCTGAGAAAGGCATCTTCAGTTTAGGTTATATTTGTATAAAATACTACCCGAACTTCTCTAAATCACTAACGAAGTAAACCATATGCTGTTATTGCATAATAAATAATTATTTTACTATAGTCAACGTAGGTACAGCTTCGCGCGCTGTTCTAACTGACGAATACTGTGAATAGTTGAATACCGTTTAGCGGCCAGTGAGAGCGAAGAATTTATTTTGGTCCGGTACATGATTTGTAGTTACCTTTCGCTGTTTTGGTCGATGACAATTGGTCCTAAAATAGTTTATGTGATTTAGTAAATACTCATCTTTACTAATTATTGGGAACTTTGTATCGTGAACAAGGGCTATAATAAAAGTAATAAAAAGTTAAATATTTTTACATCTCACATTGTTCACATTTCTCTCTTACAATTTTTACGCAGTAAACGACCAAAGCGTCTCTTTCAAATGATATTAGTAAACAATAACTAAAATATTTTGATTTTACCGCCATTCAACGATGTTGGCGATGACTTTTGAAGCAACTGTCAGTGTCAAACTATAATGTAATGTCAAGTCATTGTCACGACTTGCAGTGTTGCCATTGTATTAGCTACTAATTATGAACACTGGGAAATTGATCTAGATCTTGACTAATTTTGTTGCAATTTTTCATTGCAGTTACGCCAAATCACTCGCCAAATTGGTACAGACGTTTGTGTAAACTGTAATGCCGTAATGCAACGACAGAAAAAAATTTTAACGGCCTTGCATTTATGTAATATTTAATTTTATTCCTTCTATTATCAGATGATGAAGTAAAACCGGTTTTTCAGGTAATAAAACACTTAAATTGTTAAAAAAATATTGTATTAACTTATTATACATTAATGTCAGCTTGGTTTCACATTGCGTAAAATACCGTACCACATTTTAGAATAAAAATATCTTAGTAATTACTTGTTAGAATTAAGTACACATAGTAAACTTTGTTTTAAAAATAAATCGCCTATCTATATTTACATAAAAATTTAAAGTATTTTCACTTTTCTTCAATATTCACTTTATCACGTTTTTATCGTACGTTTTATTTTGACCCGATAATTTCCCTAAGACTTTGAGTAACACCTGCAACAAGGACAAAGGTCCCGAAAACTATTAATATAATATCTTTGACGAGAATCCAGTTGTATTTGCCGAGGCCTCTCTCCCAATTAAAAATAACGTCTAGGATTGACGGTGCGATGAGGCCCAAGAAAGAATAGAAGAACGCTCCTTCTAGACCAATCACTTGTTCCAAGCGAGGTAAAGTAGCCGCTGCTGCCACTAGAAAGAACAAATAAAAAATCAGATTTTAATAAGGTAGTCAGGTAAAATATTATGTGAGTGTTGCTAATAAAATATTTTGACTATCTGATTACGCTGTTTACTTTCTCATTACCTGTCAGGATTGCAAAAACCGCTCGAATAACGCCTTGCGCCAAATTGTGATATTTCTGCGTTACATGTTCTTTTGTATTTCGCCACACTATTTCCATGGGCACATAAAACTGTAGCGTGTACGTGAAGAAAATTGCAAATACGATGAAAACCTTCGCTGTTAATGCAGGACTGAAATAAAAGAAAAGATTTGTTAACAATTCTTATAAAGTATTATTAACATTAATTGTGTAGGTACATAAATTGACTTATAATAAAATACTTAGAAAATGTTTAAAATAAAATATTCAAACCTATTTCGGATATCATAAAGCACATAAAATACTGGCCGTTATTCTTGAAAAATAATTGGGTGGCCATCTATGTGATGAGAAAAATAAAAGAAAAAGTAACCTAATGGCATTTTATAATAATTTTACTGAGCAGGACAAATAAGATTTGTGAATGTTTCTGAGATTTTTAATTAGCATTGGAAATTTTCATGTATGATGTCACAATTTTTTTAGCATTATATATCTAAATAAAGACATAAAATAATATATGATTTATAAAAAAAAATTCTGGCTTATTTGCCATAAAATCAAGTTGCAGCCATAATATTTAAAAAAAAATAAAAGAAATAATGTGTCTGGCATTTGCCGATTTTTTATCTTGACTTAAAGTGGCTAGTATTTCTGCTGTATTATTTATTACTCGATGATTATTACTAACAAAAGAGGGTGTATGTAGGTATTTATACTTTCGGTGATTTGATTTTCGTAAAGGTACAAACATAAAGATAATGTAAGTTCTTTGTATAAAATGTGCTGAAACTTACATTTCCGATGTGTCCAGATTGAGAGTAATACTGCCTTTGGCTTCATCTCCATAGCGCACGTAGCCCAAGAATCCCATGATCATGTACAACAGCACGACCACTGACATGGTTATGTTCAGCACACCAGGACATCCGAGGAAGTGATTCGGCTTAGCCATGGTATTTTCAACCGGTAGGACAACGCCGATACCTTCCATGGCAAATATAACTGTACTGAAATGAAGTTAAAGTTGAAATTAGCACTTTGTCATAATAGTAGATATATCTATTATATTCAGTGTAGAAGTAGGGATGGTTTTGTTCAGGAAAATTATATTTGAACTACATATATACAAGTGCTGTTGAAATGCAGTTCATTTATTTAACTTTTTTATTATAATGACTTAGAATACATTTTCACGTCATAGTACCTACACGTATAATTATGGTCGGTAATAAAAAGCTAAGTGGTTTCTTACCCGATAAATAGAGGTAGCTTCCCAATATCGACTGACATCGGCTTCGAGTCAATAGGCTGGAAGTCCGTGCAGATATAGTAGAGGCAGATGAGGAATGTGAGAACCAATAAGACGTTTGCAAATCCAGAGAAGGGCGCCAAGTATTTCAAGTTTTTAATTTGTGTAAATAGAAGTATCGGAACTAAGAACATTAGGCAGTACATCGTCGTGCTGATCCCATTGTCGACGTAATAAAAGTCCACGATCTGAAATGAAAGTAATAAAAATGAAAATATGTAGCATTATTGCAAGAAAGCTTGTAGTGGAAATCTCAATGCCTATAAGATTTTCTTTAACTAAGTAGGTATGTGTTTGAAAAGCAAAGCTTCCGAACTTCAGAGAACCTATGCATGTGATAAAAAATAAGACGTTTCTGGGAGTAACTTATTTATTTTCAGTAGATTTCGAAAATGGGATTGTTAGTTTACCTACTCAATAGCGAAACAGGCCCAAGATTGTACCCTGAGAGACGCTACCATTAGAAATGAAAAAGTGTAGTGGTTCTTCTTGAACTTCCTTTTCGTCATTAGTTTTTCTAAGAGGTACTTAAACAATACATGTTTAGAAATGCCTGACCAAGAAGAAGTCAAGCTAGGCACACGTAGGCACCTATCTACAGCGTATAAGTCTTATAAAAAATCCTTTTTTGGGAAACTTGTTTGACAAGGATACTATTAGCATTCAAACTCTTTTCACGAGTGTTACCAACGACTATAAGATTATAGAAAACTAGCTGTTGCCTGCAACTTCGTCCGCGTAGAATATGATTCTTGTTTTATCCCATGGAAGCATTTAATCGGGATAAAAAGTCCTATCACCTAACTGTGTACTAAGTTTTATTAAAATTCGTTCAGTTGTTTCAATATGATTAACGGACGACCATCCAATTATAGATTGTTTTACCTTTATAATATTAGTCTGGTCTTTGGGTTACACGTTTAGTTATTGTTTCGTGTAAAGCAGAAGGCATACAAAAATAAGACAACAATATCGAAAATAAGATATATAGATGATATAAACATTTTCTTGCATCTACTGTTTTACATTTGGTATAAGTTATCAGATCATTACAAGTCGAATGTTTTGTCAGTCGTCCAACATACCTGTTTAACGGATTCCACGAGTAAGATGACATAGACTGCACAGGCGCCAAGAATGGTGAAAGCCATAGCCCAGTCTATAAATATCCTGAAAAAGAACGATGATGCTTGTTAAGAATAATTTGGAGTAAAAGCACCTGAGAGACCTTGAAATGTTTGGGACAGGTAATGTTTTTGATGATGAGCCAAATAAATGAGGCGCCACTCGCCTTTGAAAACATCGACGCCAATGTGAACAGTCATATAGGGTGTCTCGTATCTCCGAGAATAAACAGGAAGAAATGATGATTTTGTTTTGATCATAACATGTCACTCAAGTTTTTGAGGCAGCCAAACTCGATTTTCTGGTGGCACCTGGGTGTCTTCAAGGCCCGAGTGAATAGGTTGCTTATGGGACGACGTGCTCCATCGTAGATCGCATCATCGCTTACCACCAGACGAGATAGTGGTCAAACGTCGGCCCATCAAATATAAAAAAAAACCTAAATAGCAAATTCAGCATACAGGAAAATGGGATGGGTTGTCCTTATATGGTAAAACTAAAAAGAATGTGATTCTTCTAACCAGCCCAGCAATGATGACTCAGAATCTACTAAGTTACTAAAAAAGCAGCTGTCGTCGGCTTTCTTTAATTCTAAGATCAAATTAGATATCACTTTTGGCAGACGTCTCTTGTTCACAAAGGAAATGTACTATGCTATGCAGAGACAGTGTCTCTGTCGAGTTGAGAGACATTCAATCGTGAATCAAAGTCACGTGAGGCCGTTAATGAAAGACATCGACAGTGTAATAATAGTTCGCGTCCTAACTATAGCAAACTTGACCTTAGGTATTTATTGGTTTGATTACCTCAAATTTACGATGTCACTCATCGGAAACGTGATTGATTTCAGGGGTCATTTTGTTCTATCTGCTATTAATTTTTCATGAA